TACACCACTCATCATACACCACTCATCATACACCACTCATCATACACTACTCATCATACACCACTCATCATACACGACTGATCACACACCACTCATCATACACCAGTCATCATACACCGCTCATACACCAGCTCTGGTTTCAACAGCTCAAGCTCCAGGCAACTCCAGCTCCAGGTGCAGATTTCGTGGCAGGTGCAGCACTGCTAAGTTTCTAAAGTCCCTGGGGTACAGGGGAAGTTCAGATTGGATTGGTTTTATATTTTTAACCAGGTGTTCACCAACCAGACAAGCAGGGGATTGGGGAGGTTACCAATCTAAGCATCATCGTGAATCGCAGGATGTTTATGGTCAAATATGGCCACCAAAAAGCATTCACAAACAAAGACAAACACTGGAAAGCGAGGCTGTCACAACAAGCAAGCTGAGCTGAGCCACTTTCACCTGCTACCGGTCCTGTCATGACCTAGTTTTTTGTTCAGATGCACCAATTACTGCCTTGTTGCAGTTGGTGAGGACACGAAAGACTGTTTTTTCAGTCTGTGCCGGCAATGAGCAGCAAAAACCCTCATACTGCTCACAGTTCAACGAGCTCTCACCAACAGAACAAATTAACCTTGCTGTATTCTGCGCAGTGCTTTTGAACCTCGAACAAATCATGATATCAAGTTATCTATGACTCTGCTGTGAACAAATCTTGAAACACAATGGAAAGGTAAGAAGAGAGCTGGCTTTCCACAAGGGCTACAAGAAACCTTGATTATGACCACCTTTCAGGAAGCGGAAGCAGCTCAGAAAGATTTAAGTCCGACGGCGTCTCTTGGGAGCGACACTGCCATCTGGCGCAGCCGGCTCCTGCCAAAGGATAACAGTGCCCATGAAGTAGGCTAGAACATTGTAAAGTTGTAAGCAAACAACAATCGCTCTCAGACTCTGAGTCTCTGAGTCCTTGGTCTTTGCTGATGCCTTCGCTTTGGCTTTGGCCAATGCATCCTGCAAAACAAAAAAAGGGCCGCATGTTAATGCAAACGCAACAGCAGCAGCGACGGCTGAAAAATACAATGTGGCGGAGTGGCGGAACACGTGAGCAAACAACAAGCGGCTCCTCTTTCTGCTTTGCCATCTGTGATGCCTTGGTTTTCGCTTTGGGACAGGGCAGGGTGGCTGGTGCCGCTGGCGCCTGAGCTCTGCCTTTGGCTTTGGGTTTTGCTTTTGCTTTGGGCTCGATCGGATTGGCTGGGTTGGCTTCACTTGCTGTGATGCCGGCTGCTTGTGCTGGAACTGGAACTGGAACAGCACTGGTGCCGGTGCATGTTGGAGTTGCAGCCTTCTTGGCGGGATCCTCAAAAGAAGGAGGTATCCAACCTGGAACACACCGCCGTCCGCTTGCTGTGAGTTCTGCCGCAAGAGCTTTGGCATGGTCTTCTGCGCTGAGTTGCGGGTCATTGGCTTGCCAACAGTCGACATCTTCTGCGCCAGCTTCACTTGGAAGGAAAGTTCTCATGCCGGCAAGTGTTTCTGCCAACAGCTTAGAATTGTCTGCCTGTTGTGCCAGCATCGCCAATGAGCATTGCTCTGCATCAGAATCGCGGCGTGCCTTCTTCTCAAACGGTAGTACTGTTTGAGTGGTTGATCTCTTGGCAACTGCAGGCGTTGCAGTGGGCAAATGCAGTGGTGGCACTGGCCGTGCACTTGAAGATGCTTTCATGGCTGGTGCTGCTGCTTCTTCCTTGGCTGCTGACTCGGTTGCCTGTGGAGCTTGCCCTGCTGCACTGGTTGCTGTTGGGGCTGCTTGTGCTGGCTCAGAGAGTTCTGCTGCTGCTTCTGCCGTCTCTGCTGCTGTTGGGGCTTCTGCTGGCAAAGCCTGGGGGGTGGCTTTAGGTTTGTGCACATCCTGGTCAAACGGTGCTGGCGCTTCAGGTGCAGCTGGGTCTTTATCTCCATTTGTTTCTGCTGCTTCCTTGGCTGCTGACTCGGTTGCCTGTGGATCTTGCCCTGCTGCACTGGTTGCTGTTGAGGCTGCTTGCGCTGGCTCAGAGAGTTCTGCTGCTGCTTCTGCTGGCTCTTCTTCGACTGTCTCCGTCTCTGCTGCTGTTGGGGCTTCTGCTGGCAAAGCCTGGGGGGTGGCTTTAGGTTTGTGCACATCCTGGTCAAACGGTGCTGGCGCTTCAGGTGCAGCTGGGTCTTTATCTTCATTTGTTTCTGCTGCTTCTGGGGCTGCTGCCGCTGTTGCTTCTGCGCTTGCACCTAGCTCTGTTGTGCTGATTGCTGTTGGGGCTGTGGTGAGTGTTTCTTTTGGAGTCTCTGTCTCTGGCACTACGTCTGGGGCGCCAACAACTGCTGGAGCGGCGGGCGTTGGTTCATGGATGAGATGCTGAGTTGACGGTGGCATGGCCGTCAAAGCATCAGGGTCTGGATGTTCCACAAGCCACTCAATGAAATCCACGAGCTCTTCAATTGGATCTCCAGAGGAGGAGTGAAACTCCCAAGATTCATCACCATACAAGTTCCTCAGTTCCTGCTCATGGGCTGTCAAAAGTGGATGCTTTTTGGCTTGCAACATTACTTCTCTCAGCGCAGCTGGCTGCTTCGCCAATGTCTCCATGATCTCCAAGCCCAAATGATCACGCCAGTTGCCGTCAGGCGGGCCACCAGCCGTTGCCACGTCCAACACATGCCGAAGAATGCCTGCAAAGGATCCAAAAGGGATAGTCCCCAAAGGAAACTGAGGCGGGCCGGGGCACTTGCCAGCGCTGCTGCTGCTGCTGTCTTGTTCCAAAAATTTGATGAACCCACGGAGCATGGCTTCCATGTCTTTTTTGGGAATGGCCCCAGACTCAGGCTTGAACTGGTCCAAGAAAAGGTTGAATCGTTCGTGGCTGGAACACGATTCTAGGGCCGACACCATCAGCTCTTCGGTAATTTCATTGCTGCTGGCTTTTGCAAACCTCTGCAAGCTCGGCGGCAGCTCTCCTGTGACCCTGGCTGAGACTGCAGTTGGGGCTTTTGGAGAAACTGGCGGTTCTTGTTTGGTAGGCATGAGCACTGGCAATGGCTCTTGCGATGGTTGATTGGCAGGTTCTGTCAGTTCTGTCTTGACATGAATCGGCTCTGGCTGTGGCTGTTCTGGCTGGACTTGCTCAGTGGGCAAAGTGGGCGCTGGCAAACTCAGCTGTTCGTGAAGCATGGTGCCAAGCTTGATGGCCGTTCGCGTTATCAAATTCCTCAGCTGCAACAACCAAATCGCTGCATCTGGGGTAACAAAGAAAACAAATCCAACAGACAGACAGGACAGTGACAGCACTGCAATTGGTGGAATGCAACGCACTTGAAGTGCACAACAAGTCTCCCAGGGTAGATTGCATCCACCAATTTGAGGTCTTCCACTGCTGAAAGAGACAACAAAGGACAGGAGACGCGGAAGCCAACGTTATGTGCATTGACTGCCCGTTCAAAGCATAGGTGAGCTGCCGGAACAAACAATGTGTCACCTGGACTAAGATACCCTGAGCGAAGAGTAGTCAGCTCAAGATCGCTGTCGGGGCCCAGCTGAGAAATTTCTGAAACTACCTCTTGAAATGTTGCTTTCTCAGTCACTTGGAAAGCTTCTTGAAGGTTCACTGTGATGAAAACTCGATTTCCCATCGTATGGTAGTACAAAAACCCGAGAGATGATGGATACAACCCAGTGTAGGTTGCTCCTTGCGCGAACAGGTGTGTCTGTCCCTGTGTCATCTTCTCGACATCAGCATCAGTGCACCCTTCTGTCTCTTGCATCCTGGGCTGTGGACAGGGGAAGGGGCGGGGATGATGCTCTGAAGAAGCAATGAACAAATTTGATCCTCAGCGCAATTGATCTTGATTCTTTATTGTATATAAGCAATATGAACTATTAAGCAAGTAGTTAAGCCGAAAGTCTCTGCAACAAAAGCATCCCGGTCCAACAGAAGCACATCACCATCTGCTAAGACGTTGTGGCTTTTCATTTCTTCCAATGCGTGCAGCAATATGCGGTCATACCCCAAGTAGTTGGTAGACCCCAAAAGATCAACAGGTTTGGTGACACGAGTTCTCCCTGGCTGTGTTTGCAACATCTCCTCAAACTTGTCACTTGCTTCGGTAAGAGAAGTGGTCAATGTCTTGGACATAGATGTCATTTGCTCTGAAGACATCGCACCTGCTGGGGAGGCTTTGAAAGTCTTCTTGATGCTTCCCTGCTTCAATCTGCAAATCCGTGCCAAGAATGGTTCATCCAAAACAGCCTTTGCAAATGATTCCACAGAAGTATCCACCATTACTTCAGGGTAATTCAATTTTCCGGCATTGTAGATGATGGACAAGTCCTGGAGAAGAATAGCAAGAAGATTGCATTGCAAATGCTGGACATGCACATGTTGGTTTTCCCTCTCTCTCTCTCTCTCGCTCGTTCTTTGTTCTCGCTCTTTCCTCTATTATTATGTTTGTTGCTTTTCTCTATCTCTCTCTCCCTATCTCTTGTGATCAATATTGCATTTATAGATATCTCAAAATCACATTTATACATACACATACAATATATATATATATTTAGAATATAATAAATAAATAAATATATATATATACATATCTTAGCAAGAGTCTTAGCATGTATTTATGTGTGTGTATGTGTGTGCTTGGAATCCTTGTCTTCTTCCAATTCTTGGAGGTTCTTTCTCGCTCGACGCTTCCTGCCATCTTCCTCCGGCTCTTCACGTTCTTTCGCATCCGCAGCTGCCTGCCTGGCCTGCTCCTTCTGTCTTTTCTTCTCTAATTTCTTCTCCTCTGCCTTCTTTAATCTAGCTTGTCTGTCCAGCTCCTTCTTCTCTGCTTTTGTTTTTTCGTCTCTTGCTTTTTGAGCAGCCTTCAACCCAGACTGCCAATGATCAACGTCACTCAACACTGCTTGGGAAATCTGGCAAAGCAGTTTGACGCCATCGCCATGCTCTGCCATCAGTTCATCGATCTTCTCACAAGTGGGCTGAATGTCCAACAAAAAGTCTATGACATACTGAGCGCGACCCACTGTCATGATCGCATCCTTGGCACTAGGAAGCTGTGAGACAACTTCCGAGAAGAAATCATCCTTGCACACAAGATCCGCAAGTGCTTTGGAATGTTCCTTCTGCTCATCGTCGGAAGAGCTCCTGGGACAAACGAGCGCTGGACTCTGGACTTGGAAAACATGACTCCTCTTAATTTGACGAGATTCCGCGCTTGGCCAAGAATGATGTTTCGTCGTGAGATAATTTGATACCTGAAGAAGTAAACTGTGAAGTCGTGGAAATAAACACATCCTACATTCATGCTTCACTCTTTCCATTTGGTTGTCTTAGAATGCTTTCATGGTACAATGGATCAAAATCTAGGGCCATCGGTAAGCCTGCTTGGACATTCTTAGCCTTGATCTGATCTGCTTCATTCAGAACTGACTGCACGGCAACATTGGCTTTCTCAAGAAGACGCTTCATATCATTCACTTTCTTGATGCAACCAGTCTTCATTTTCAGGCAGTAGACCTAAGTTTTCTTGGTGTGCTGTTGCAGCGACCGGTAAATGAAATCCAAGCCATGTTTAAGATTATGTGCAAATTGCAAATATAGACTTTCATTAAGTCAAATGATTTACAATTATTGGCAAATCACAAGTAAAATGTCAATCAAGAATCGACAGGTGATACCTTCTTCTTGGGGGCTGCCTTCGCCTTTACATTTGCCTTTGTCGCTTTGCTCTTAGCTGAAGGTGGAAAGGATGACAAACCAGATGACCCTGAGGTCCCTGAGGGCATTGGTGCAGCTATGCCCCAATCATTGTCATCTGCCATATCTGCCGCAAGTTGCTTTTGAACATCCTTGCATTCCTGCAAAGCTTTGTCGCTAATCTTGGTCGTTTTGGTCTGCTCCATCACGATGCTGGTGTCCTGGAACAAGAATGTCAAACTCAAAGACCAGCCAGCAAAGTCGGTATTTGGATAAAGCTTGAACTCATATCCCGCAATGTTGCAGTTTTGAACAATCAGGAATTAGGAACCGCTTCTTCAATCTGTTTTTTTGGCCATTTAGGTAGCACACCTGGTAGCTTCCATCACGGGCTTCTGTACCGACGTTGACATACACAAGCCATACCTGCAAATTTACGAAGGACCAAATGCAAATCCAAAAATGGTAAGAGCAAAAGGCACTGAAACACAAGCTGGCACTGGCCCAGCCCTGCCTTACCAACACTGGCACCGTTTAGGTCATTCGCCTCAACTTGTATCTTCTTGGTCGTGCTGGTGCGCAATTCCTGCAGCAGTTTCCAACAAAAACAAGAGGTGAGAAACGAGAAAATTGACCACTCTCAATCCTCCCACCATCGTGCTTCAGCCACTTTTGCGCTGACACCTGGGTTTGATTGACTTGGAAATTCAACTGATTCAATGGTAACTAACTAAATGTCAAAAGTCCATTGAACTTAAGAATTGCACGTCTGTGACTGGGACATTCCTCTGAATGCCACCGAATGTAGTCTTCTTTGCACATAGGGCGGCAGATTGCGTCCTCGATGTGGCGTTGGCCAATGCTCTCACGTTTCGACAACTGAAGTTCAGTGAAATCGAAACGGGCTCGTGGCTTTCCGCGACCTTGTGAAGGGCACCTCAGATCAACTCATCAATTGTGAAGGGTGAAACATGGTGAAACGACAATGCAAGCTGGCTTGTCAGTTGAATGACATATACAGGGGAGTAGAACCTAAACTGCTACCACGGCGCACATCACAGAAATTTCCAAAGTGCATCAACCAAAGCGGTTTGTTGGTTCTTTCCATGTGCTCCAACTGGGATTTGACAGGCCCTGCAGCCTTTGCAGCTTGTACATAGTAAGCATCTCTGTGTCCCATGTGTGATGCGCAAAGCTGCACTAGCCTGCAGAAGGAATGAATCACACAAAGTGGTTTGCAACCTCTGGATTCAGACTTAGCCCAAGATTGAAAAAAATGAAATCAAATGAATGAACGTGCAACATTCAATAATTAGCTGATGTGGCTGTCGACTGCCGGAAAAAAGGTCGCGTCGCGTGAGTGTGCCTCGAGGGCATGTAAACAATCTCCACTTCACAACCTTTGACTTCACATGCTGAAGTCAGCCCTGGTCCACCGGTCATGGTCCCAGAACCTAGTGTGTTTGCAATAGGCGTCCGTGATCCTGCTAGTGGGCTCTCTGCGCTTGGCGCGCTCGGCAACGGCACCAAACTCATTGGCGAAGAATCGGAAAGAGGCATCAAAGGTTTCAGCTCAGGCTACTGTCACTTGAGTGCAGAAGCTCTGGAGGATTTTGCTATGTCTGAGTTTGAGAGTCTGAAAACGCAAACAAGCAATGGCAAAGTTCTAAACGACAAGAAACGACCGGTGAACAACATGTTTACAGTTTACATCATGAGTCTTCAGTGTTGTTCCGTTGTTCCTGAACTCGTCACCTGCAGTCTCTAATTATCATATTGCAAACATGTTTGTTCAGTCTTTTGGCTTTGCTCCAATCGGGTAAGTTGTCCGTTGTCCTCTCTAGATTACTGCACACTGCTGGATTTCCGGATCAGTTGAGACGGTCAGCAAATACCTCAAGGGAGCAAAAAATTGCTGACCATATAGCCGAAACCACGGCCATATGCATAGCCTTGGGTCAGGGAGAGGGTATGAAATGAGCAAGCCAGGTCAGGAACGGGTAGATTTATGAAAGGCAAACTCGATCAATCTAAGAAGCATTACCAGCTAAGCTCTTCTTTTGTGTACCAGTGATGCCATCCAAAGGCAGCAGGGGATACTCAAAATCATGGCTGACTTCTGGAAGGATTGGGAATCCCATGACCAAAAGGTGCTCTTCGTCTAAGAGCCATCTCTCTTCTTCCTTGTCGCTCGTTGACCTGATGCCCCACATGAGTCCTTGTTGAAGGAGCGTGGGCACCCACGGTGATGAAATTGGGCGTTTGTCAGGGTTCTGCTGCAGATTCACGATCATCATGCGACTACCTCCAAATCGTAATTTCATTCTTTGAAGGCACACATTTCACAAGCACAAGCTGCCTTCTAGTCCGGTCTTCACGCGTTGAGAATCCCGATAGCCCTGCAGCCACACTGTTTTGCCGCCTCACAACACCATGGACTGCCATAGTTTCTTTCCTATAAAAAAAACAATGGAAGTGTTGTGTGGTCAGTTGTCAACGTTGCCATGACC